ATGCTGCATTCAACTCCTACACCTTTGGTAAATTTAATGTTTAGACAAGTGCACCTCCCAAACAAACAAATAATAATAGTTAAATGAAAATAGCAGTTTATCTACTTCTTTATTTTAATTTATTTCCTATATCTGTCACTACCCGACAAAAATAAATTTATAAATAAATTTTTCACATTTATTTCATATTTTATTATATTTTAAATAATGGCATTATTTCAAAAATCCACCCTACAAAATCAAAACATCACTGCTTTAAAATCTTAAAATTTGGTTTCAGATCTTCTATCTGTCCAATATTCCCTTCCTTCCTTTTTTTTTGGGGGGGGGGGGGAGGGGCAGATATTATTTGTATATCATGTATGTAGGTTAATAACACTTGTAGCAACTTCCTCATTCAAATCACTATAATAAATTGATGATAAACAATCAACAATGTCGTATCTTATATAGACCATCAGACATAAAGTAAGCTTCAGAAGAAAAGTTTTATTGCCAGAGTGATCTCGTCAGAGCAATGGGGAGCAATATGGCAACAAAAAAGATACCTTTACCCTGAAAGTCTTGAAAAGTCGCGTCACAGTTCAGTAAATTTATTCTCTCTGTATTTATCCTACCCATCACTCGTGATTAATTCTGTTGACCTATCTGTAAACCTGACACAACTTGTCAAGAGAATACAATAGAGAGACACTAAAAAGGCTCATTCCCACAGCTTTAATAGAATTCTTCTACTGAAACGACTCTACCTTGAGGATTCGATAAAACTTTTATTATATGACAGATAACATTTCTCCCCTAAAAATTCAAAAGAACAGCACCAAAAAGGCTAAAAAAAGTTACCTTCCTTGAAGTTGACTGAATTCCAACAAAAAGACTGTAAGAGTATCTTTGTAATATAAAGCAGTTTATCTTTAAAAAAATAAAAAAATACAAACAACTAGTTAACATCACTCTAAACAATGGCATTATTTCCCCTTCAAAGCACAATAGATTGTCACTAAGACAGAACTTACACTGATTGTCTAAAAGAAATAAAGAAAACGAAAAAATAATACAATAGGTTGTGACTTAAAAAATAAGGCAAAAACTGTCAAAGTATATCACAACTCGACATAAAAACAGCCGAAACGAAACAACTTTCCGTACACAAGAGTATCCCATATACTTTAGCAAGTCAGCACCTTTTACAATAGTTGAATACTCCTCCCTTCACAACACGCAAACCATCAGCAACGAAATCTAAAACCTGTCGCTAAAACCAACGAACAAGGTGACCTAGGTTCTCACCTTGCAAGAGAGGAGACGAAATAAAAAAAAACTTCGCTGTGAAAATTAATTACCCTTTTCTCCAGTATCAGTGAAGGATAGGATATACTGTAGTGGCACAGACTATCTTATCTTTTTTCTTTTTTTATGGAAGGGGGTAAGTGCAAGAGGAATCACCATTTGAAAGGAAATATGATCAAAGCGAAAATAAGATTTCCAAATTGGCCACCACTTCTGAATTTTCTGTTTCATTTGCATTATATTTTAAGATCAGAAACCAAGGAAGCTTGTTCCAAAACCATGATCAAAGGAGAGAAAAGAAAAGAAAAAACTCCCCGGCTGTTATATTATGGACTGGGACATTACAAATTGTGTACAAATAAAACCAAAGTGTAACATCTCTCGGCTTCCGATTCCATTCCACCTGTGGCTGTAACCAAAGCGACAAGTTGTGTCGAAACGTGATCAAAGTTAAACGACTAAGGATCTGATTACATGATACTAAAACACTATTGGATCAATTTATTTGAGAGAATTAACCAGCATGGACGAATAAACAGATCCTAAACCCTCATCTATCACCCCGTGTGCAACATCTGCCTCCTGTAACGACTAAAGAAGAGTTTCAAAATAGCCTACTGTGGTGGTGACAGTGGGCTTGCAAAGGTTGACACGAGCTTCAAATATTGGGTTGGAAGGGGGGGGGGGGGAGAGAGAGAGGGGAAGAATTTTCTTTCACTTATAGATAATTGCCCTCTTGAGTTCTGAACTCATCCATACCCAACCAGTAGATGTATATACAATTTAGGCTGTTTTCCTTTACTACGCATAAGCTGAGTAAAAGGTTGGGTGCATTTTTTGCATTTTTACTTCATGTACAAAGTATCATTTTTGAGCAGAGGCAGTTATTTCATCGCATCTCTGTTGAAAAACCACAGCTAGGCCAGAAGGAAACAGATTCAAGGCAAATATCCGAGGCATGGTACCTCAAAGGTGCAATATGTGCACTTGGAAAATACCGCACAATGATTTTTGAATTTTACCCAATTTTATTTTATTTTTATTAATCTATTAACTTTATTGTAACACTGTTAAAATCTTAACTGTAATTTTGCAGCGTAACAAAAAATGACCAAAATAAAAAAGGTACATATAGATAGTTCAGATACATCAAATATTTAAGTATCAGGTAAGAATTATAATGCTTAGACAACAAATCAGATACTAACATTGTAAGAACTAAGTCTTGGCAAGCACCACCAAATGTAACTACAGATTGACTCGGTCATTGACTTTCCCCTGTTTCAATCCATTTTGATTTTAATCACAGCCAAATCATAAAAATGTCTCCTTGTTGACAGAGCAACTCGAACTTTGTATGAATTTCACTTGATCTACCTTAAAGTTCTAATATTGTGAAACCAGTAGAACAGAGGAAAAAAATATCCACGTGGCATTTAAAAGTTTTAAAAAGCCAAGTTCAAAGCTGTGCATTCCTGTACTACTATAACTTTTCTACCTACAGAGAAAGGTGAAAACTTTTGTTACAACAATATTACCTCTTCTGCTTTTTCATACATCAAATTTGTTACAACAAATACAAGCAATGTTGCTATGCAACAAAAGCAACACCAACACTACATCTTAACGTAATAACACATCTATTTTACATGCAAGATCACCAAAACATTGTTTTCTCAATAATTTTGTGTAATGCTCACATTAAAACTGTTAAATATCTATGTGTAATATTAAAATACCTACAACTGCAACAGTATTTTAGTATTCTCACTATTATATTATCCTTTTTAAGGCACTTTATACACTATGTGTAATATACACAATATAGTTTGGGATTTAGTTTGTGACTAAAAATATCTCAAATGGACAGACTGTTCTCTCTTAATTTGTTATTTCCCAATAAGTTAATAACATTTAATGCTGAGTGAATTTCAGAGCCACAAATGATGGAAATAAATACAAACCCAGATATCACAATAACAAACCTTTTGAGCTTTTTTTTTAATAGAAATAAATGAGGGTTAATTAAAATGTTCATAAACAAAATGAGTTATTGGTTGGTGTACAAATTAAAGTCCAATTTCTCTCCTCATTCTTTCCCTTTCCTTCTTTTTTTTGCTTGCTGACAAGGTAATTATTGGGCAACATTATTTAACATAAGCAGTGTTCAGAAATAATGAATTGTTTTAATCCTACCTCAAAATGAGCAGAATCAATTGCAACATGGGATTCTGTTATCTGTTCATGATCAGTTGATCTGAATGACTATTTGTCTATCAGAAAACTAATACTTCTCACCAAATTCAAACCAAATTGTTTTCTCCCAAAATAATGTTTACCTGCATGTATACTCCTAATATTTTTCAAATAGGACGTTCAAAATGGTAAATGGCTTAAAGTCAGAGAGTTATTTATTTTTCTGAGCAACTAATATTAAGAAGCTATGTGATCTTGAAATAATAAAATCCCTTGAATAATTGGTATTTAAAATTTGTTAGTAATCCTCAGTCCTGTCTGGGTGAAGCTGATAAAATGCTATATTCAGTTATATAATATTTTAATTAAAAAAACAATATATGTATATAACAGGACCTGAAGTATTGAAAACATACATTTACATAAAGAGAAAGTCCAACAGTTATAACTGTCAAAATAAAACCATGTAACTTTTTTCCCCAAAATGGCCTCCAATTAAACTATGGCCACCAAACCTCTAATATTTCATTGCAATATTTCAAATATCAGCCAAGGCAATTAATACCTGGAATGAAAGCTTTTCTAAAGTATTTTCTCAGATTTTATGATCATAACCAATCAACCTTAACAAAAGCCAAAAGTCGCTAGAATTCATTTTGGATAATAACAATACACAACTGGGTATAATATCAATGGTCATACAAAATTTATATGAAATGAGCAACAGTATAATAAAAAAAAAAACCTTACCTAATTTTTTCTTTCTGACAAATGTAAAACACTAGTTATATCTATGTGTTATATAGCTTCTTGAAACTGATAGCACTATACATTCATTGCACACTTATGCAAACATATGGGAAAAAGCAGAACATATACAAACACGCTATGGTATCTGGACAGTTTATATACGGTAATAAATTGAAAATTTAATCTTGAAAATTTTTTCAGAAGATGATTCTATGCTGACAATTTTTTTTCACTTAGAAAATTTTGTCAAACTTGAAAATGGACCTGTCGATAATTTAGAAAAGTTCTTCAACTTATATGGCCATGTTGGATTCAGGCATTTTCAAATATTAGAGAAATTTTCAAGTTTTTACCGTACATCACCTTAAAGCTGACAGTGGCCAAGAGACAAGCAATGACCTCAGTAGGTGTAGGTTTGATTTCCAACCAGGTCAAATCAAAGACTTAACATGTTACCCAGTGCTTGCTTTAAAAGCATTCAGCAACTGGAGAACCCAAGGCAGTGAAAATCTGAAAGACTCACTCTTTCTTTCACGCTATGAGCAACTTATAAAAGAAGACCCTTTCAAGCAGATTTCTTACGCACCCATCCGGCAAATGTCCCAGGAATTTTCTTATATTTCTGGGAAATTTCTTTACCATCACAAACCTTTCTGCCATCTTCTTGCAAAATCCTCAAAAACTCTCACTGAGAGATACTACAGATGGAGCAATTGTGCAGAAATTAGCATCCCAGCACTGCCACCATATCTCGGCCTCCGTCTTTAGCATTCTAAAGCAGAGCTCCTCATCGCAGCACTGTTCGCCTTATGCTTTTTACTGTCCACATGTTGAGCAAACTGAACCTCGTTGTTCATGGTAACATTGCAGGCTCCACAGTAAAACTTCCCACTGGGAGTTCGATAATTTGTGAAATCTCGATGACGCGGCCTCTTAAGCGGTGGCGGAGAAAACTGACATGATGACGATGATGTTGTCTGGCTTTCACTCATGTGGATCTTACCCACACCTGGGGGAAGTAGGTTCTTAAAGAAACCTGAAATCAATCATAAATATTTAAATTTCTGATGATCACAAAATACATCACCTTATATTGCATAATTACACAGATAAAGCTCAAGTGTGACTCTAATGTTGAGTGTGAAACATAACAGCACTTGCAGCATATAAGAAAATTGCTACACAATGAAATTTTACTTGTTAAAATACAGAGAATGCACTTTAATTGACAGAGGTGGCAACTGTTCTTATGTCTTTTAACATCTTTTAAGATTAAAAAAACTAATAAAATTAGCAATATGCAAAAAAGTCAGATATGTGATGATTTATTTATAATGGTGTCATCATGATGCAATGCAAATACATTAACACAAATGCACATCACTCTTTAACAATTTCATCCCACTCGCTGCCACCACAACTACCACATATCAGGTGCATTCTACTCAGAACTTGAACAAACATTCATCGTTTGACAGTTTTTAAAACAGTAATCGCTCCTTCAAGGTTCGCAGATAGGTTGACAAAGGCACAAGTCATGTTGGATTAAGCTGACCTCAGGCCAAGACAACCCCAGTTCACCTTCCCACATTGGATACCAGACAATGGTTTTGTGGAAATGCCTATCACTTATCCCATACACCACTTTTATTTTGTTAATCTTCTCCTTTGGGACGGTTTATTGAAAAAGAATGCACCAGGAATTTGGCTTCATTTCACTATAAAGATAAAACAAATTAATAACTGCTTCCTCATAAAATCCTAATTATGCACTCTGTTACTTATCAAAAGACACCTTCTCTGAATCCAATATGTACACAACCTACAGCGCTGGGATGAATGAATGGGTAACATTGAATTGGCTGTTGTAAGTGAATCGTCTTCAGATAATTCTTTTAAGGGTCCTTCAATTACTTTTTTTTCCTCATCTCCCTTTCATTGCAGTCATTGAAGAATTTACACTTAAAACAGAAAGATTGGAATCTAAAGCAAGTTCCCTATCACATAAACCATCGGTTGTAGAAGAGAAACTCCTCAACTTAGACAAGCTAAGCTCTTGGCAAAACATGAATTACAAAGTAAATATCGCTAAAAAACATTAAGAAAACTCACAAAAATTCTTTATTTCAAACAAAATGCCCTCAGCACAAACCTCCCATGCTCTAAGGACTTTGTAAATTGCAAAACAAACACCAAAAAGTCCACAAACAATCCTCTTTTTATTGGAGAATATTAGAAAAAAATAAACAAGTCAAGACTAATTTTCCAACTGGGATATTGTTCATTAACTCTGGGTGGTGGGAGATGATTGGATCTTGAGGGCTATGATTACTAGCACAAGCAGGAAAAGGTTTAATATCCTCATCTTACTGAATTAAAAAAAAAAAAAAAAAAAACACAAAAACTAATTTCAAAATAAACAACAACCTATTGATAATTTCACTAATATTAACTTCCTACAAAGTTCCTTATTTCTCATTTGATATGACAAACATTCAATTCATTAAATGTAAAATTTTTAAATTTTATTTTCACATTCAATTTCCAATAATAGCTTACGGCAAATGTTAAAATGGTGATGAAGTTTTTACAGTTGCCGTTGTGATGATCTCATTAGAAACTACTCAATAAGGTGAAGAACTAATGGGATCTCTCAACTATAATACACTTATCTGAAGAGTTTATCTTTGAAAATCCTAGCCTTATTTTTTCTGTGCTTTGCCATCACTGTCTACAAGATTTATCAGCACGTGATACCCAACTTCAAAGAAGATGAATTTTTTTTCAAGCTGCATTTCTTTTCGCCCTAAGGAAATACTGTTCAAAACAGTTCTACTTTATTACCTTGAATTATAACTATTGAATGTTTTTCCCTGCACTTGACCAGCTGGCTTATGAAAAACTAGACTTGAAAAAATTTACACATAAAACAAAATTAAGTATCACTTCGTCTTTTGATGACTTTCGCTACTTAACACATCTTTTAATACGTGACATTTCAACATGATTTTCAAAGATCATTTGTACCATTTGGGGTCCTTAAAAGGACAGCCTAAGAAATATGTCAATTCAAATCACATTTTGCAATGTTGAGTAAACCCAGGATCTAGTATCTGTACACTCATCATTTGATATACACCTTCTTCTCTACCCTAGCTCCCAATCCACTAATCGCTCCAAAATCTCTCTCTCTCTCTCTCTCTCTCTCTCTCTCTCTCTCTCTCTCTCTCTCTCTCTCTCTGTGTGTGTATGTGTGTGTGTGTGTGTGTGAGGGAGAGAGAGATCCACTAATCGCTCCAAAATCTCACTCTCTCTCTCTCTGTCTCTCTCTCTCTCTCTCTCTCTCTCTCTCTCTGTGTGTGTGTGTGTGTGTGAAAGAGAGAGATATTTTCTTTGCTTTTCCTGTATTCCTGTGTGTGTGTGTGTGTGTGTGTGTGTGTGTGTGTGTGTGTGTGTGTGTACATAAAACAGAATTGATCATTGTGTAGGTGTGTCTGACTGTCTGTCTGTCATACTGAGACATGGCTGCTTGCCTAGTCAGTAATTCAGTATAGCTAGAAGACTGCAAGTTCACTTCCATTTTTAGTCAATGAGATAAGTCAGGATGGTGTATAGTCAGCAATTTCAAGGTCTCAACTTTTTAAAATCAATTTACATCATACGATTACATTCAGACATCTTGTAAGTGGTGCCCTCTTCTTCTGACAAAGACAGCCCATTTACTCCCATTAACATCAAACACATCATAAACAACCCATTTCCACTCTTTAGGGGAAATTATACTTAACAAATCTGATTCATTGCTGTCTTTCATTAAAATCATATTTCTGTTGAATCATGACCGTGTTCAACATCATGCTTATTATTCACATTTCAGTAAAGAAGTGCAGAGTGCTTCGGGTCAAATTAAACACATGGATTGTGAAGTGCATGTCATCATCATGTCTGTAGTATTCACCCTGGGTTTCTGAGGTTCCTGGAGACAAACCCAAGCTTTATTTATAGTTGCTAATATGGTAGGAGAGGAGAAATTATTTGCTCGGTTCAATAACTGGTTGGTGTTGTGGCGAGAGTGGGTTATGAGCACCGCCATGCAAATCATGAAACAATAATCTGCCAGAGAGTGTTGAGAGCACTCAACTCCCATTTTGAAAATTGTTCGAGGTTGAGAAAAAAGAACCCATGTCTAATACTGGAATGAATATCTACAAAAGCATCACAATTATCATTTTATAAGCTCCATTACCAGCATCATTCTGCTGTTTCCAGTAATCTCACATCCTAAGGGTAGCCATAGTAGCCATATTCTAATTAAAGAAGAACCATGGATCGTGGTCTTCAGATCTGAGAGGTATTGACATGTTTGTTTTTGAGGCTATGTTAAGATAATAACTTTGTGTATTAACTGTAGGAATTAAGGGTTATGTGTTAAAAGGGTCCATGCCCAGACAAATTGCCCCTGGGTAAGTGATATGGCGGGTAAAGGGGGGGGGCAGGGTTACAATTTGATTAAATTATTTTACATGCACATCTTGAGATGACAAATCTTTTTTTTTTCAAATGCTGAAACTGTTTAATTTTGCTACAGATTTTGTGGATAAACCAGAAGCACAGTGTACATATATCTATTAAGAATGACACCCATTCCTTAATCCATTGTGTCCTTTGCATTAATTTACCCGCCTTTAAATGAACCACAGGTTTGTTAGCAGATTATTCCCTTATTCTGTAGCCAAGCTTACAAATTCTAAACCAATTTTCCTTAAATTACAGAAAAAAAATACAAAGCTGAAAAGAACTATCTTAAGCCACATGCTCTTTCGGAGATTAAGATACCAGTCCAATCATCTCATCGATCTAAATCCTCTTCTTTTCGCCATCATGATACCTTCTAGGTTATAACCCTGAGGGCCACGACAGCTAGCTTAATCCCAGAGGGCTATTAAAAGTATATTTAGATATATTGGGGTTTGATTGTCCTTTTTAGCTGCATCTTTTCACCAGGTGTGTTGTCATGACCAATCCTGACGGATGATTTTTTAATTGCGGGATTTCTATTGTTCACCAGCTGTTGATACCAAATGAAAATTTGTTCATAAACAGAGAATTTTTGTGCAAAGAATACATTTTGGTGTCCATCCTCTGAGTACAATGTGTGAAGTATTTGATCTAATCTACATGTACGATTTGTTTGAGGTGGAAAAGATTCAATTTTGCCAAATTAAATTCCTGCGGAGTTTCATGATGTAATTTTTCTTTTTAAGTGTGTAAACATTCAAAACAAAATCAATCCTTTAGCTTACTTCCCCAGATTAAATTAGATCAAAACATTTTTTTTCAATAAATGTATTAGGGAAGATGTTAATGCAGATCCTTTTAAAAGATAATTCTACTGCAAGTACAATTTGTAGTTTCAAACCAAAGTGATCATCATCTTAGCTGAACCAAAACATTTTTTCCAGTCTTCCATATTTTAAACAACAATTTACATACATCTTATAAATCTTTCAGCAAAGGTTTTTCAACCCATAACCCTTCCATTATGGTGTAGTACAATCTCACCTTGGGGGGATTTAAGATATGACACTGTTCACCAATCTCACGCATGCTAAGCTAACCCTCCTTCTCCCTTTGGCAGCACGAGTTGTGCATTTTGACTCCACTTCTCAATAGAAAGTACTCAGCCACCACAATATATACCATTGTAACTTGTATATTGTGCTGCAGGCAAACACAAACATGTGGAATTTTAGCCAGACGATAAAAATAAGTGATTATGACAAAAGGAAATAAAGAACAAGACATTTTTTTTGGCCAATTTACAATGATTTCGCTGCTGCCTTTTTATTTTTTAATTTTTCCTTCTGGAAAAAAAAAAAGCATCACGGGGCTACACATTGAAGACACCAAACCTTACAAATCCCTCCCTGTAGCAATTTAGGAAGAGCTTAGACATTCTACGCCTATAAATCTGACACAGGAGTGGGACGACAGCTCCAACATGAATTGTGCATTAGTAAATTATTTTTCCCTGCT